TATACACAATTTTGATGCAGGAGTGGAAGTACTGCTGTTTAAAAAGTATTGTAGTGGGGCACCAATAGCCTAGTGGTTATGACGTGAGCCCCTTCAGAGGCAATAGTCCTCAGTGCAGTGGCTATGGGTTCAAATCTGACCTCAGCCCTTTTATGCATGTCATCCCCAACTCTCTCCTCCCAACATTTCCTGTCTCTCTTCAGCTGTCCTATCTAGTGAAGGCAAAAAAAGCCCAGAAAATGTCTGTACAAATATTTGATAAAACTATCACTGTGGTTTTTGTCCTGATATTTAAAAACAGAAAAGTTGTTTTTTGGGCTTAAACATATGTCCCAATCACCATGGGCAGTAATGTAGATTTGGGTGTCATCTGCATAACAAGATTTTTTTTTAAGCACAACCTTTCAAATGAGGGGTATTATTTAACAGAAAGACAGGAAGCAGCCCACAGCAAAGACTGTGATGATCTGAGATGGAGCTCTAATTGCTGTTCTTGTGAAAATGACCTTAACTCCTTGAATTCATTAACACTGATAGGCAGTTCAGAAAAATATGACCATGAATGGCCCCCTCAGATAAAGCCAATAAAGACTCAATGAGAGCCAAAGCTAAAGGCAATCAGCAAATCATTAACTACCTCTGTGAGTTCACTGAGTGGAATAAAATGGCCTCAAGTCTGAAATAGAGGAGCTCGACCAGGCTATTAGAGGTAATTGGTAATTTGGACCACAAGAACTCATCCAAGTATTCTGGGGAGAAGAGGGAATTTTAAACCTGATCTGTTCGTTGAGTTTTTTGAAGAAAGGAATCTTTGACCAAAACAGAACAAAGAGGGAAGTATGGTACGTCAAGTATATAAAAAAATAAAGTCCTAATATAAAGGAGTATTAGGGTCACATTTAGAGGGAAAAAAAACGGAAAAAAATCGGAGATTTCAAGATTTAACTCCTAATTTTAGGATCTATTCCTTATTTAAAGAAATAATTAGAAGTAATGAAATGTGAGATGCGGGAATGCTTTAAAGGATAAAAACAATAAAAATCAATTGAATAAACAAAAGTTAGCTAAACTGCTGAAGACATTAAAGACACTAAAATGGTATTTCAGGGCACAAATGAACAATTCAAGCTGTTTGATAAGCTAATGACCAAGTTATTGAAAGATGTTACAAAACTGGTTTAACACTTTTTACCAGTTTAGGGGTTTGTACTGTCACACGCCACTCACCTTGACAGTGTTGCCAGAGATGAGTATATTCTCCTCGTTGATGTAAAGGTAGACATGAGAGATGGTGGTGAGGTTTGGTGTGCTCCACTTGTCAAAGTTGGCGATCAGCTGGAAGGAGAGGTCAGGCAGCTTGTGACAGTTAGTGGACAGGACGAAGGAGCAGGAGGCCGGGAGGCGCAGCGATGCCCCGTCAAAGGTCCTGAAAACTCCACCGCCAGAAGCCACGCAGTGCTGGGACCGCCGTGCAAAGCAGCCCCTTACTCCGTACCGCAGGGTGCACTCCTCCTCTGCTTTACAACGGCGAGGGTCACACTGAACCAGGTTTCGTCCGATGCACTGGCAGCGCTTGGTGCAGTCACTGTTCCAAAACAGCTGTTTGGGCTGAAACAAGGGAGGTTCCTGTTAAAATCAGGGCTGAAGACTGTATTCATGATTAGTTGATTGAACTATATAGATGCTTTATAGATTTTTTTTTAAATTGGTTTTGGCCTTCCATATAATTTATATACTTCACTGGTAATAAATGTCACAAAATGAGCCAGACAATGTAAAAAATACAAAACAATATGTCTGGCAATAATTTTAAAGCTAAAAAAAAACAAGCAAAAATCCACACCAGATTTGTTCTGGTGTAATTCCAGCCTGATTTTGTAGGTTAAAGATGTTGTATTCACTATTATGTGTTGTTGACGGGCCAATTGGAACTATAGTTAAAAAGCCAGGCTGCATAGTTCACTGAGTTTATTCCATGGAGTGCTGGATGTGAGACTGACCTCATAGTACTTGCCATCAGTGTAGCAGCCACAGTTTTGTGGCAGGATGCAGCTCTTGCCGTTGAGCACGAAGCCCAGGTCACACTGGCAGCCCTCCACACAGTCCTGGCTGCAGTCCCTCTGTCCGCGGGCGGGGGCGCATTGTGGCGGGCAAACCGATACACAACTGGAGTAGTGGCTGTTAGGTGGGCAGCTCTGGACTGGGAGAAGGCAGGTTGGCAAAGGTTTTTGGTTATTAAGGGTTGTTCTGACTGTAATGAACACGTTGGATATTTTCCTGAATAAACATGTGTCAGGGGTAAATAATTGTGGACGAGAGTTGGCTGGAGTGGAGTTGTTTGTCCACACAAAAGGCCTGCTCTGCAGCAAAGAATAAATATTAAATCTGTTTAATACTAAATCCAAGGCTTGTTAGCCTAGCTTAGCATAGAGATTTAGAGCATTGGAAACTAACTTCCCCAAAGCTTTAAATGTCTGTCAGAGTGACTTTTTGTTGATAGACATTAGCTGTGCACTTTTTACTGGATCTACTTCCAATTGAAGAAATAGTCCCTAAAAATAAGGTGTTGATGGTGTTTTCTCTTGAGTAATTGGAGAAACATGGATATTCTTCCTGCAAAGAGATGTTGCTGATATATTTTTTTAAAGAAATAAATCTTAAAGGAGTCAACTACAATGTAACCCTGAGGAGGCAGATATCTTAAAAAATCAACAGAAAGCAGAGTAGATAAACATACATCTAAGAAAACATGTTTTTTTTTTATGTAATAAAAGAGGCAAGACTTTAATCACTGTTCACCCTGGATGTAAATCGTGAACTTAAGGTGAGCTCAGACTTGCACTCACCACACGGTGTGTCACTCCTCCAGCCGGTAACAGGCACTCCTTGGGTCTGACATGTGCTGGCATATATCTGCAGCCAGTTACAGATTGTATCCTGAGCTCCCTGGTCCAAACAGGTGTCTTGCAGACAGTTCTGATAAAAGAACGCTGGGGCCACCTTGCTGTGGCAACGTGCAAACACACCGGCTCGATCCACAATCAGCCCGCACAGCATCACCGCCTCGGGCTCCACAAACACATACAGTCCATCTCCAATGTGGAATCGCATGCCAGTGTTCACCTCGTTCGCCCCGTTGTCCTCGTCCATGTTCGTGTTGGCGTCGGCCACCATTAGAGGGGCATCGTTTAAATCGCTTTTGTCTCCGAGGCCGCAGCGGGGGCAGGAGTCACCACAGCCCACCTGGCAGAAGGTGTCCCGCTCTGCCCAGGTCATGCCCAAGTCAGTGGTGGTAAAAGTGGGTGGGGATAAGGACATGCCTTGGCACATACCACAGCAGGTGTTGTAGAGGTCACGGGGCAAAGTCAACAGGAGCAGAGTGTTCCAGTCGAAGGCCACCTTTAGGCCAAAATCTGTCTCCAGGATGAGCTGCATGCCCAAGGTGAAGACATGGATTTTTCCTGGACCCAGCTTCAGAGGAAGGTACAAACGCTCCTTATTCACCTGAGTGAAGAGAAATTCATTCAAATGTGTTTTTTAGATTTAACACTATTAACTGTTACACACACATTCCTAAAGAGGCAATTTTAACACCAGGTCAAAGTTTCTAATCAAACTGAGCTGTGTGTTTCCAAAGTATGAGGGGGAAACCCCAGTGATGAATGGATAGCACTAAGACTCACTGAAAGAGCTACTATGAGTTTCTCATATAATCTAATTGTATAAGCGAGAACGAGACAGCAACAGAAGGGAATGAAAATGTGTGTGAGGTGGGTTATGTGTCACTTCTGTTCCTCCTCAGATCTTTTAGTTGGTTTGTGAACCCGGTCCAAATGTCGCTCAGGGTCGGGGTTTTGTCCGAGCCAAATCCAGCCTGATAAAAGATGCCCATTGAAATTAGATCCACCTTAAGCCAATCAAAGAGGAATTCACCCTCAGCCTGGATATTCTATCGGCTTGATTAGAAATAGTATGTCCTCACAAATACAACAACCATGACCTTCTTGGGACATGCATAAAAGTGGAGGAGAGATATAACATTCTTGTAACGAGCAAGCACAACAGGAGCAGGCTACCAGGATCTAAACCTAGCAGCCTGCTCCCCTTAAGAAGTCTGAGCTAGGTGATGATTAAACAACATTTATGAAAGAGAGAGAGAGAGAGCAATCCAACTCCCTTCAGTTTATAACAATAAGACACTAACTTATTTTCATACGGACATTTAGGTAGCGTCATGATCTCTATCAATGACCTTTGCTGCTTGTTGTACGATCTGATTGGTGGTTTTATATCTGTACAAGTCTGATTGCATTGTTTGGACAAAATAAACAATCTTTGTGCTCCAACAACTGATTGAGTGAAATACATTAGGTTGGTGCATTTCATTGTGTTCAAGCTTATTAGCTGAAAATGAATTGCATCACTTTTGCCCTGCTAAGAAACAAGGTAAAGTGGAAGATATCTTTCACAACCATCATACACTGATAATTCAAGCATTACGGTGAAAGGGACATTGTGTTGCCACTGATGTTCGATTTTTAACTTTTTGTTATTTTTGATAATTATATTTCTGTTTCTTGAGCTGTTGTAACAAAAAAAATCCCCTATGGGGATCAATAAAGTTTATCTTTATCTTTATGAAGGATTAAGAGAATGAGGAGGGTTGTAAGTTTGTGTCATGAGCTGAGAGTGAGGTACCTCTGCCATAGGCTACAGGCTAAAGTTAGCTACAGCTGGCAGGCAGCTGCTAGCTAGCACAATACCACAGTTTACAAAGTACTTAAAGATTCATTTTCCTTGCCAAAAGGTTTTCCATTGAGGCAATGTGATACTCCTCTACTGATTGCTCTTGTGTCGACTATGATTTGGGTTGTAACTCTTTTTAGGAGGTGTTATTGTTTTTATGCATTTTTTGGTTTCCATCAGTATTACAGGATTTGATTGTGCTTGAATTGTACATTAAATGTGCCTTCCGATTATATTCCTAAAATAGTTAAATCTGGGTTTTTTTTTCGGAATAAATATTTTTTGCATTATAATCATGAACACATTAGGTCTTAGCTTCTTAGGTTGAATGACCACAGTTTACAGTCATGCATCTTGATGATTTTATTGTCAAGCTCTCACCGTGACAGTGTTCTTGAAGCTTCGAGACACTTCGATCTCGAAGTCGTATACCTCCAGGACAAAACCCCTCACCCAAATTGCCTGCCCCGTGTCCCTCTCCTCATTACGAGCTGCCAGTTTAAATTGAGGAAAGGTTCCACTGATGGTTGTGGAGTCCCTGCTTTCTCTCCCACAGTTGGTTGTAGCCATCCTAAGAGTACAAGAGCTCTGCAGCTCAAATGGTACACCAGCAAATGGCAGAAAATGCCCGTAACCAGCTGCCACACACAGGGCCTCGGTGCGCGGCTGGCAGAAATATAGGCCGTCGTTCTCCTGACAGTACTCCTCAGAGTGACAGGGTGCGAGCTGACAGTATACACTATTGTCAGAGCCGTTACAGTAGCAGCGCTCCTGGCACTCCCAATCCGTCCAGAAAGTCTGATTAGTGGCCAACTGGCGCCCGTGGCTGCTACAGCCACAGTCACTGCGTGCCACACACTGGCCATCGCGCAGTGCAAACCCTTCCTCACACTGACAGCCCTCCTGACATGGCAGAGGACATGGCTCTTCAGGTTCATCCAAGTTGGCACAGGTCAGAGGGCAGGCACTGGTGCACTCATCAAAGTGGCTGTTCTCTGGACATGGAAGAGCTGAGAGAGAAAAACATGGTGAGATACAGAAAGAAAGAAGCAAAAACTACAGCCAAATTCACAACAACAACATTTGTTTCTGTCAGATGAATGGGAGTCCCATTGGGGACACTAAGTATAAATCGCCGATGTCTCAAACCCTAAATTTGTAAAAAACCCTATTTGTTTTTTACAAAAATGTAATTTGTTTTAATGAATTCAGCCCCACCACGGCTACTGAATCGCAATTCCCTTAGGACAATACTGATAACGAGCCCCTCAGTTTGCAAACATGGTTGTTAATACAATTTGATTTACTGTTTTGAGTCCAAGCTTAGCCAAGCAAAGGAACACATTTTCAGATCCACTTTCCAAGCCTCAAAGGATTGAGTGATAAAACAGGTGTCCTATTTGATATATCATCAAATTAGAATTTGACATTAGTACAAACACACTGGTGCAGTGTTTCAAAGAAAGAACACCAGTAGATTGTTTCTACAGCATACTTTGAAATTTGTCTAACTTATGTGTGACCAATTACCTCATTGTCTGCCCTGCCACACTGCATTTTAATAATTGTTGGAATAGAACCATAATCATTGGTATTAGTTCCACTTTATTTTTTTCAACAAGTCAAAATAGCTCCTGTGATTACGGACAATGGCTTCTATATATTGGAGGAGAATAAAAGGAAAACAATGTAATAAGAGTGATTTGATGTTAATCATTGTTTCAAGATAGCCACATCAAAAAATGATATGTTAGGTTGAATTAAGTGGGGCTTTTTTGCTTTAAAGAGGAAAGATTTAGAAACCACAGCGGTAGAGGAAATTTAAAAAGTAGAAGGAAGAGAGGGAAAATTTTCAGCCACATTTTTCGATGTTGTGTTGTATACAAGCTTTGTCACTTAAGTCACAATTATGACATCAAGACAAAGACATGTCTTTTTTTTGGCTAGCTTAGCTAGTTAAGCTTCTTAATTATGATTAGGAAACAGATGGATACATTCTGATACCATTGAGTTTAATGCCCAACAACCCAAATATCAGCCTGTTCCTTTTTAGTATAGGTATATCTACTCACGGCAGTTAGCGGCACTCCTCCAGGAGGCTAGACCCACTTGAGCATCCTGACATGCGCTGGCATAAGCCTGCAGTGAAGAACACAAGGCTGAGCGATTCCCTTGCTTCACACACATGTTATATAAGCAGTTCCTGAAGAACGGTGAGGGGTTGACCACTGCATGACATGCCAGAAATGAACTATTCCCAGGATCATTAATGTTCCCACACATCCAAGGACTCTGATAGAGACGCAAGTCTGTGCACATTCGATACAGGTCGTCACAGTCACCATTACAGGTAAGGTCATCGGCAATGGCCCGCCAGCCATCTGTGAACTGCTCAGTAGACTCTGCCAGGCGTCCATTTGGAAGGCGGAGGTCATCAGTGGAGTTGCTATTGAAGACGCCACATAGACCACAAGTAACATTGTAGAAGATGGTGGAGAGGGAGATGTTTACAAATCCCTGGCGTGTGTAGTGGACACGAAGCAGACCATGGGACTCCACCACTGTAGCATTGCCTGGTGCTCTGTAGATCATCATAGTCTCCAATGGATGAACATATGGGAGCGCAACTAGTTCTCCATTCACCTGGAACACAAATAGTTGTCACAGTAAGTGGTATCCAGCAGCTGAAAAAATACAACAAAAAGTAAAAAAAAAATACTGACCTTTACTGTATCAAAATCTAACCCTCCCATCTGTGCTTCCATGTTAGCAACTGTTACTACAACAGGCCTTTTCCAAGCAGGTCCTTTGTTCACTAGTCGCCTGCCTATCTTAACCTCCACCATTGAACCATTGGCTGGTACTGCAGCACACAGTTTCAACAGGTAGTATGAGCTGTCATCCGGGAACAGCAGGAAGGTGCCATCAAAGGAGGATGTTACAGAGTTTTGGGTGATTGAGCACACTCCCTCCCTTCGAGGGTAGCAACCAAGTAAGCCAACCTCTGCTACACACACCTCACCGTCCTTACAAGACTCATTGAAACAGGTGACTTCTCCAGCAGGTCCACAGGTGCAGCGGAGAGTGCATTCACCTTCTTCACCACTGGGGCCTGCCCAGAAAGTGTTATTGAGGGGGTAATAGAGGCCGTTATGCTCACAGCCACAGTCTTCACGCTGTACACAACGGCTGCCGCTTAGAACGTAGCCTTGGTCACACTGGCATCCCTCAGTGCAAGGGTGAGCACAATACAAGGGGGCAGTGAGGTCTGAGCACGAGGCTGGGCAGGCACTTGTGCACACTTGGTAATTGCTGAACTCGGGGCATGACAAAGCTAGGAGACAGTAAGAGAAAAAAATTACAAAAAATTACATACAAAATAAACATTAAGCTTATGTGTAAACTTTATCCAACGGAATCTCACCACAGAAGGTGCGAGATCTCCAGGGTCGTATTGTGACACCAATGGCTTGGCAGGCCAAAGCGTAAGCCTGAATGGCTTGGCAGAGTGTTGTGATATTATCCCTGTTGTTGCACATGTCGTATACACAGCTGTACACAAAGGCTGTCGGGTCCACCACAGCTCTGCAGTCCCTAAAAGGTCCGTCGGTTTTGTTGATGAGCCCACAGTAGTCTGAGCGAAAGTAGAAAGCTTCTGTAGTAGGGTCACACATGCTGCAGTTCTGAGCACAACCATCTGTACACCTCCAGTCTGTGTCTTCTGCCCTCCAGCCGCCCCCTAATTCCACAACACTTTCTGCCAAAGAGCCATCAGGAAGAACAGGGTCATCAGCCGGGTCATCGTTGTAGTTACCACAAAGGCCACAGGTATTGTTGAAGTAAGAGCTGGGTAGGGAGATGGATGCATAGTGTTGGCCGTCATAGGATACCAAGAGTCCAAAGTCGGTTTCTAATGCAACTGCAAGCCCAGACTGGTATACCCTAATAGCGCCAAGTTGGAGCTGGACCGGCAAGGTCTTCATCAAGCCATCCACCTAGACAGAAGAACAGAGAAAATATTAGAAAAAGAACAATTTACAATGGTAGGAAACCAACTCAGATTCTATTTAGAATTTGAATCAATTTTGTCCAACTCCTTAATCATATGCAATTTGGGATTCAGTTTCTGGTGCAGGACACCAAGACAGTGCTTTACACAAACAAAAACCAGAAAAACAACAGGTATAGTCTGCTGTTGTGAGGTGCATGTTTAAACAAGCAGCTCAGGACAATTTTAGGGACAGCCTACCTGAAATATTCTAGAAATTATCAGGAGTGAATATGTGAAAAATTGGCTTTGGACATACCAACTGGAGGGGCTGGGGATCAAAGTGTACTTCTTCCAATCATCTAACAACTTGCTCTACCTCAGAGTCATAGCAGCACCTTTTACCTTACAACACTTACAACCAACTACTTAAATGTAAAGATTTGTGAAGGTTAGAAGTTTAGGGCTGTATGTTGCAAATACACCCTAAATCACTTTTGTATCACCCCAACCAAAAATTGCATAGAAGGCAAGTCTTTTGACTTTGGAAAGTCCAGAAATAATGATGTCCACAGATTCTCACCTGGACTCTTCCAAAGCTGCCTTTGGGTAACATGACTCGATGACCATACACATCCACCGTGACATCTCTAAGCCAAGAGACAGAGGTGATACCACGGTTCTCATTTTTGGCTTCCACACTGAAGAAGGGCAGCCCCGCCACCTCCCAACACGGTCGAGCCAACAGGTAAGAGCAGGTACCCTGGAAGTGATAAAGGAAACCATCGAAGGTGTGGTAATGAGGGTCTCCAAATACCACACAAGTGCTAGTGCGGGTCGGCTGGCAGTAAAATGCCCCATCTTGCTGCTCGCAGATCTCCAGCTGCCCGCAAGGAGCCTCTTGGCACTGAACCACGTTGTCGATGTCAAGACAGCGACACTTCTGAGAACACTGGTCAGACAACCAGAAGATCTCTCCTCGTCTGTAAAAACGCCCTGGATAGGATGAAGCAAAGATACAGTAAGTAAAACCCTACAAGCCTTACTAAGGAATTGTATGAATTTCTTTTACTGACTTCTCCCAGTCCTTGCCGAACTAAACATGCGGTAACTGGTTATAATTACTGACAATAGAACTTGCCATTGAAGCTGCATCCATTGGCAGGATCTATCAGTTCAGTGTCTACACGGAAGAACCAGCGTCCAGGGGTATTTACATTGGTTGTCTGTTCAATGTTCACTACATCATTGGAACGTGATCCCGGCAGATTGAAGAAGTGACCAATGTCTCCTCCATTAAAACCTGACTGAAAAGGGGAAAGGTGTGAGGGGAATGAGCCGAAAAGTTGATTGTATCATTTCAATGGAAAATAAGCGTTTCCCCTCCCCCTCATACAAAATGATCAGACTTCAGAATACCTGAGCTGTAGTACCACCCAGTCCTGTTAAAGGATCTCCACCACTGGCTGTTCCTGTGCTCCATGTGATTTCTCCATAGTTAAACATGCTGAAGGACGTCACGCCATCTGAGATTAGTACAGTTTGGAACGTGTTCACCTTTGAATCAAACAAGAGGATTAAGTTGGTTTTACAAAGAAAGAAGAAAGACAATTTCTTATAATATAAAATACAAAGAGATCTAGAAAAAATACCACAATGGAGAAGAACCCTAGAAACAATTAACAAATGCCCTACATATAACTATGACCAGTTTGTTTCTTTATAAATCCAAGGTCCAGGAGCTCTGATTATGAAAACCCTGCTCCATTGTAAAATATATTTAAAACGTGTGATTGTCTGTCCAGGTATCTGGTCAACAGCCAGGGCTCATGGAAAACACTGAAGATATCTTGGAAACACTTTACAATACTGTTGCACTCATTTGCATGTATACTTTCTTAGTTAATGTCTAGATACACTTAGCCATTATGGTCATCAATTTTATGATATTTTTTAAATTATTTTAAAAGTCATGACTGGCATTCAGGCTTCCAACTCAAGGGCTACTGTCTTAATCAGCATCTGTTTGAATTTATCATTAATTTGTGATTTACAAAAATCATGCCATGACTTGCTTGGATGATCGCAGTTGAAATCTATGGCTTTGGCTCATAGTGTTAATTAACACATTAATTACACATTTCAATTAATAGAGGAAATTAATTAATTAGGGAAATCTAAAATGAATGTAGCAATTATTCATATAATTAAAGTAATTCACGTAGGACTCAGTATGAAAATCATATAGCTTTTGATTAATGTGTGGCTTAGTTCTACAAGAAGTCATGATTATTAGGGCATCAATTAAGCGTTAACACATGCTTATTAGCTAAACAGTATTGTAGAGTGTTACCGGTGTTACTGATCTAACAACAGTCATGTATCTTAGCTTTAAGTAAACACAGAGCTAAGTGTCGCTGCCATTCACCAAGTAAATGCTCATGTAAGAAGAGCAGGAGGCCTTGAGGTTTTCTCTCATTAATCAAGCAAGAAATAAGTCAGCTAATGAAGCGTTGTGGGGCATTTTTTAATATATACAGTTTGTCTAACACATGTTGGTACTAGCTTGGCCTTGATGAGCAGCGATGAATAGTCATCAACCTTTTTACCCAACAATTGATAAGACTGAACAGATCAGTTCAGAAAATAATTTTAAACATAAAAATGACATTTTTGGGTCTTGTTATACCGTTACAAAAAGGCATACTTGTCACAATGACTTTGAATGTGAAATAAGTGAGAGGTACTCACTAAAGGTTCTTGGCTGAATATTATTACTAATGTGCAGTCACATTTGCACCTAATCACTCCTCAAAGTGGGCCAATTATTTTCATGTTAATTTGTGATTTTTTTAAACAGAATTTATTAACTCTTATGAAACAGACAGTTTTTCCAAAATGTTATACTGAATGAAGAGTGCTTAATTAAAAAAAGAAAAGAAAAGTGGTTTCTTAAGGAAGTTGTTGACCTTCATGTGGGATATTATATGCAGGTTATTACCGGGGTTGTCTGGCTTCCACCGTAGAAGGTGACTTGGTGCCATGTTGAAATAAAGGCCCAGGTTGCCGTAAAGCCGGGGTGAGTCTTAAAGTACTTTCGCACATCTTGTGTCGCCCTCTCCAGTATTTCTGGTTCGGTGGTCTCCCGGTAGTAAACATCTCCTCGAATGCCATTGTGCACATCTGCCCAAAGTGGAGCAATGAATGATCTGCTGTCACTCAGGGGGAAAGCCTCAGGTGTGAACTGGCTTACTTGCACATTGAAGGAGATGACACCATTGTTGTTGATCTGTGGAAAGATCCAACATTGTTTTCAATTGGAAAAAAGAATTAAGAATGACCTAATCAGAGTTTGATTGGTTTGCTCAATAATTACATAGATGGAACGGTACGGGATATTGAAGAAAATGAAGGAAATGAGCAGAGTAACTTCAGGAGAACTTCCATCATCCATCTTTGGGGTCTCTAGATCTCTAGTACCAGGTCCATATGGATACAGGATATCCTTAGTGCTAGCTAAAGGAGAATTAAGAATTAGAGCACAACAATTTTGAAAAAAGAAAAAGAACTTGATATTGAGTATGACTTAGAAATAATTAATCAATATCTTTGAATCCCATACCTCGCGTCTGTACAAAGATGCTGAAGAGGTGGAGCAGAATGACTGGACAGCCTGGCCTGACCATTCTACAAAACAGAGACAGACAAGGAGGGGAGCGATCCCATCAAAAGGGTGACTATTCCCTCATTATGTTTCCATTTCCTTTAGTATTGAGCAACTTTGGCTTAGCAATGGTTACTTTATCTATCTTGCTCTTAAAGCGTAAGTTAAAGAAAATTAAGGCAAGCATGAGTCATAGGGCAACTTCTCATAAACAAGGCTGTTAGGCAAATGTAGAGTGGAGGGAACACCATCAAACCAACGTCACGTTACTTCTTTAAGATCAGGCTCCCAGGTCTCCCCTGAGGAGCCCTGAAAAGGCCCTATTATGCATGCCAGAACAATGTTACAGGATCACATTAGCCTTACAGTCCCAGGTGAGTCAGCAACAGTGGAGTACGGGCCTCTCTGTACCTGGGTTCCCTGCAGCTGTCAGACCTGGCCCACTCTGCTCCAGCGTCTCTATGTCTCAAGCCGCAAGGCGGCTTAGGACCTCATTACCACTTCTTTTTGGGAGCAATCCATGCCTTGTTGGCTGAAGGGAGAGGATGGTAAACACTGGGACACTAATGGCTTTAAGTGAGTAGGTTTCAATTGCCAAGGTCCTTGCAATGGCCCTTTGGGGCTGTTCAGTGCCTGGCTTGCAAGTTTCCCATTGGCAAAGTAGAGTGTTCAGCCAAGTGAAAATTTTTTACACCACATTGCATTTTAACTTTATTAAGAAAAACAAGTATTTGTACATTCAAAGAATTAATTCACCAATCTAAATTTTAACCCGTGTGACCAAACTGCTGTTTACACCTTGCATTGACATCGGTTCCGTCCGATCAATAACAAACTAGGAGCCTTAAAGCTAGGTGTGAACAGACCCCAATGCGTCCTGAGGATAGATTGAGATCTGGCAACTCAGACCACATATGGAGGTGGTCTGGCAAGCATTCGTCCAAGCATTGATTTGGTAGTGTAAACGCTCATGCCTCCCGGGCAGTATCAAAGACTACTTCCCAACTTAAGAACTGGTAGAACAAAGCTGCCTCACGTATGGTGCTATCAGATCAGCCAGGAAGGATGAATATGCAGGTATAAACAGCCTCACTGATCCACTCCAGCTACAAAAGTAGAGACCTTCTGCCTGTCTTCATAAGCGTTCGTGTCTGTAACTATGGTATTTTGGACTTGTGATACTCTCCAAAGATTGCATGCATCAACGGTGCCCTTGCTAAAAAGTGTCCATTAGGGATCTGCTTTGGTGGACCATCTTCACATGGAGGGGAGCTCTGGCACTGAAACGGCTAAATCACCAAAGGAAACGCTACATAATACTGTTTTAAGATATTTAGAGTTTACGGATTGAAGGCAAGGTCTGCCTAGTTACATGATTCAAATATTTATTGGACTTGCCACTTTTGGGGTGTAGTTTGCTAGCATGGAGACTGTGGTCTTGTCATGTAGTGTTGGGGATTATGGAAACTTTACCTTGCAGAAAGCATGAGGTCAGCAGAATTTCTCCATAAATGGAAGCATGACAGGAGGCTCATTGCATAATCTAGATCCTGCAGTTTATACTTTAACTGATATTTTTAAATTGACCACCATGCATTTCACATAAACTAGAAGTGATGAAAGTGGACATGAGCCAATCCCATAGCTGATACAACTTTTATACTACAATATTTGAATCATCACAAGATTGACATTGGAGAATTTTTAGCAGGACGTTCAATGCTGAGCTTTAAAAATGTTGTCTATTTATGGAGTAATTCCAACTGGATATGTTCTCCATATGTAGTGGCTATTTGTCTGAAAAAAATCTAAATAAAACATATATCAAACATAATCAAAAGGCCACTGATGAACTATGGGGATTTGGTGTAAGCAGGCTAAAGTCCATTGTTCATGCAAAAGAGTAAAGAAAATCCTGGCCCCTGCTGCTTCTTTAGCGCTGGTAAAAACCAAAGGCCCACCCAGGTGCATGGTGGTCCTCTACCTGCCTTCTTATCTCTAAAACCTCAGGTGCCCACAGTGTAACCCAAATACTCAACAAAATAAAAAATACTAATTCTGCAACACTAAATTTACTAAACAAATAACTTGCAAAATAAAACAATATTAGTAAAAGTATTAGTAAACTAAACTATACCAAACTATATTTTAAGAACAAATAAACAGACCCTACACCATCTTATAATTGAATACTTGTTCTCAGAGAGGCGGTAGGCTGGTGTGCTGGTCAAACTGGCACTTAGCAGAAGGTTAGGTCAACGTCAAGGTTTAATTGAGCTGTTCACATTGTGTCATGGGGCTGTCTTTTGGTTGAGTGTACAAAATATAAGTTCAGAAAAATTTGGTAAGTGACCATTTGATTTGGGATTATTCTTACACACAACAGGTGTGTAGTTGTTGAGACGTGTCCAAACTTTTTCCATTTATTTTAGAGATTGAAAACAGGACTTTGCTCTGTAAACCAGTCTATTTGTAGTTACCTGTAGTACCAACATTTTGTATGTTCTGAAACGACACGTTGATGTGTGACTGCTGAAACATGAGGTATGTGAAGTCAATTAGATATGTCTCTCAAATTTCTCTAATGTGTGAATCCTATTCAGCCCGATGTTAAATTTTGTTCAGGTGTGCCAAGATTAGCGAGCACCGCTGAGAGAGGTCTGCTCTGATATCATCAGCCTCCCATCAAACATTGTCATCAGAAAGATTAACACAATTGCTCGTTTGACTCTTGCAGCTCACCATCTTATCGGACTGGTGTAACTTTGTCCTTTTAGCAGGACAGTTAAGATAACCCCCTCTCCTTTATTTCCTACATAAAAGATCAGCAAGTCATTTTAAGGAGCAAATTTCTGAGGTCACCCCCAAAAAGAAAAATCTCTAACTACATCAAGTAAGTCACCTATCTTATCAGTATATTTAACTCTCTGAAACACATGAATTTAATTTAAAATATGAAGTTGAGTCCAATCCAATATGAGATGTCAATTCATAATCATGCTGTGGCGACATTATATTATATATTTATATTTAAAAATGATCTAATCTGTGTCTTTTTTAGAGTAAATACTGTTATTAATGGATATGCACCTGTTGGCCCGTGTATTTTACTGTTGGGGACCCCAAAACTGGATAACCAGATGATGAGGAAGGGGAAAAAAATGTTCTTGTTGCGAATGTTGGTATATTAGGCTACTGCTTATTCAGAAAAATAAACAAGAAGCCTTTTTAAAAATGTGGATGACTTTCATTCTCCATGTTTCTTAAAATCTTGAAAATAAAGCAATGTTAGATGTACAAGATGTTATTTGTTTGAGGTGCTCTGGTATCTACATTTGTAGTGAGGGATCATAATACGTATACTTTGCTTTCCTTAAAAGAAGTTTGTGACACCTTCAAATGAAACAAAAAAGTGTGAATACATTCATCTGAAATTAGACCACGATACAAAAATGACGTTTCCGCAAGCAGTCTATGGCAGAATAATTGTTGAACATACAAGCGCTAAATAACTTTCTCACAAGCAAAAGTTTGTACCATCAACAAGTGACAATAAAACATCACAAACTAGGAATCCACAAATTAAATAAGGGAGGAAACGATGCACCCACCTGCTTTCAGAAGATGGACATCTAGCACCTCAACGGTCTAACCTGGCAACCTCCACACAGTCGTATCCCATCCAGCCGAGGACCATCCACAGAGTGGTGGTGGTGATGGAGGGACTTGAATGACACTGATGAATTGACAGTAGCTGAAGTGTTCAACAGAGAAAAGGGAGTACAGAAGGGCTGGATGTACAAATAGAAGAGCCCCTCTTGTCCAGTTTAAGCTCCACAGGATAACCCGCAAAAGCAACAACGGTCCAAAGGTTTCTGTTTGGTGTTTAAATGATGTCCTTGGAAGAAAAAAGTGAAAAGAACCTATTGAAGTTGTGGAAGTATCTTTGCCTAAAGCAGCAGGTGCAAACTTTACCTGGGATAGTGTTCAACTTAATCTGAGATCAGTGTTTGGGGAGAGGGGGAAGGTGGGGGGAGAGGGCAGTTGAGGGGAGGTACAGCATAGGAATCTGAGGGAGAGGGAGTGGAAACAGAGGAATATGTTAGAAGGCTGACAGGGGAGGTCAGAGATCTGGAAATGATGGTGTAATGAGAAAATAGAATAATTGCATCTGGACATGCTTTTAATGCAAGGGGAAAGGAATGTTCTGCACAAAGAGACTTTCATACAGGACGATGTCTTTGGGGCAGGATCTGTCACTGACACCTGCAATGTGCCAATGATAAAAAAGGTATTTCAGGGAAAAACGTGAATAGACACTGTGGCCTTTTTTTCCCCTTTTGGAACACTGACTTTTGAGTACCTAAAAAGTCTTGCGACTTTTCCCGAAAATTTTGAGTGAGCTGCATGTAAACACTGACCAAATTTTACCCTGCCTTTTTCCAGCCAGCACCCTAGTGAAATTTCCATGTGAGGAAAATTCCAGATGAGAAAACTGTACAATTAGACCGTGAACTTTTGCCCATGAACTGTGCATTTGCGCTTAGTATTTTTATGTATTGTCTATGTTGTATTACGTGACTCTCCAAATTTACCTATGGGTGCAAATAAAGTAATCTGAATCTGAATCTAATGTGAAGTCGGGAAGGTGGTGTTTGAACAAAGCATTGAATTCATCAGGATAATTCACAGTGAGCGCGCAGGAGAGGTTGATGACATTTATATCATGCGACTGATGTGCGACTTGTGCACAGCCAGTTGTAAATGGTAAATGGACTTGAGCTTGTATAGTGCTTTTCTAGTCTTCTGAGTACTCAAAGTGCTTTTTCACCGCAGGTCACACCCATTCACACACTGATGGCAGTGGTTGCTATGTAGTGAGAAACAGTGGGAGCAATTCGGTGTTAAGTTTCTTGCCCAAAGACACATCAGACATGTTATTGCAGGAGCTGGGATTGAACCCTCGACCATCCAGTTGAGCGACGATGACTCTACCAACTGAGCCACAGCCTGCTCAGTTTT